CAAACTTAAGGCCCGCAGGCCAAATGTGACCCACAGGTAACTCCCGTGTGGCCCGCCAGGGGAGGGTAAAAATTTTTTTAAAAATAACTTAACGTGAAGATTATTTCTTATACATGGTAAACTTTAAATTTATGATTAAATGCAACAAAATAAATTTAAAAGGTGAAAGATAATAACAACTGTCCTGCCCCTGAGCTGTTGGTTTTAAGTAACTGAGCAGTTTAGTTGGATAGCTCAGTATTAATGTCTGAAAATAAGCTGCTTTAAAGTCAGCATCAATCATAAACTCTATTTATTTCAGATTTAGTCAGTCGTACATTTAGTTCTTATCAGTGTTTAAAAGACATTTTAAAACACTGTTTAGTCAAAGTTCATTACAACTGGTCTTTCGAGGGCCACCATACCACTCATGTGGCCCTCTGTGAAAATGAGTTTGACACCCCGGTTTAGATTATACATTGGGTTTTTAGAGGGAGAGGTGAGTTTTACTTCTTACTCCTTGCAAACTGTAAATGCAGCAGCTRMTCATTTAACTGAATGGGTACTAAAATATGTAAACACAGTCCTGGCTTCTGTTTCTGGTTAGATTTTTAAGATTTTACTACTTTTTTGTTGTAGTTTTAAAGTGTCTTGTCCTTTCATATTTATGAGATCTCTTCAACATCTACTCACACATAAGGACACTCTGGTAAATCAACCAGTTTCTCTTAGAAGTTCCAARTGAAAATAGAAAAGGTGATTGGGCTTTTGTAGTGGCTACTTTGGAATACCTACTTCATTTATGGACAGCTGAAACCGTTTAAATCTCTGCTTAAAACTCATCGTTCTTCCACGGCTTAGAGTATGAGAAGCCAATTGGGCTGATGTTTTATGTTGTCTTCCTGTTTTTTTAATTCAGCTTTGTTCCCAATATGGCCGATTTTTGACCCAGTTTACTGACAAGCACAAATACAGACATTATTCCATCTATACAAAACACATGAAGATGTCAGAATATGCTTCAGGGCACCAACTGGCTCAAACATGCAGAAAAGATTAAGCTGTGGATTTGTCTGTTTTTATGACAAAAACGTGTAAATGGGGAGACATACCTCTGAAGAATGTGCAGAGACATGTAGAGTTGGGGTTCGTTCGTGGCAGATGAACGCACCAATTTGCTCTTGGTGTGGGCAGAAACCATGGTGCCGTCGGACAGGGAGAACCGGTAGATGGGACTGAATGCTTGACCGTGGCGAAGAACTGGAGACCAAACAACACTTTGTGTCAGTAAAACTATTTGTGTGAATGTTTAGAAAGCTACAATATGAGATCACTTTTTCTTCTGTACGTTCTTTGGTACGTATCTTGTGCAATTTTTGTGCCATTTGTACAATTTATATACCAAAATGTCCGGCTGCTTCAGGGCGTTTCTTTTATGGCTTTTGGTATTTCAGCCATTTATAKTGTTTGAGATATTTAGCTTTTTCAGSGATGTTTTATCAAATGGAAATGAATTGAGCTGTCTAACATCCTTAAAACCCTTCAAAGTGTTAATAAATCTTATG